GGACTAAAAAGTTCACTTAGCTGTGAAATTTCAATACAGCGTCCACATGAACAAACACACTTGATGATGGAAGTTGAAATGTCGAGTTGAAATTTGACTACGCCATCTTGTAACAAACGACTATCTGATAATTTCAAGGCCTACGTAGGAAATTCTGCTTTTTTGAATTAACTCAGGTCTGACAATATCAATGTATGACGTAATATACATTTTTGGAATCTGAATTGAATGCTCTATTCATCTGTGCAAAAATCCAAAATCGTCTCCATAAGGAAAAATGGATTTGATGCTGAAAGACAAGAGACGAAACGTCATATTGAAATTTCAATCATGCCATCTTGTGGAGGAGAAAAAGTGGCAATGTTAATGTGCAAGTTATTTTGAAAAATCACTACAAATGAAATTAGGAAAAAATAAAATGAATTTGGGAAAGTTCGTTTTTTACATCTCTTTGAATTTCGAAACTGTCCAAGCGGCATTTTATTGATTACCTAAATATCGAATTTTATTTTCATAACAAAACACTTCTCTTGGTCTAACAATTTTATGGTAGAAAATCGTACTATACTCTCCATCTCGTTAAAGGTATTTTTTTTATTTCTGGTCGCCCGTAAATACAAGAGCTGAAGGTCACTTGGTGCTATTCCCGGGGCTCTAGTGTAGATGTTCAGCGGCCCACCACCCGCGGTAGTGAATTAATTTCACACCCAGTGCCGGGCATTTATCGGGTTGTGGAGATAAAAATCGGCCTCTCTTGTTGATTTAGCCGTTGTCACAACTGCACACAAACCATCGAATTGGTAAGTGACCAGTTTCTCCAAGCCACGTGTTCATTTTCTCACATGATTTCTAATTCTGTAGAGGGGAAACGTCTGCATTGATACTCCGAGGCGAATTTAAGTAGGACTTACGTCTGTGACGATTCAAAATACAACCATTTCCAACCAATTGCATCCAAAACCCAAAATACAAAGTACCATCCTCTAAGGGCTCATTAACTACCGACTGAGCACAGATACAGTCCTTTTATCAGATTATATCTCAATTTCCGCGGGATACAACACGCTGTATCTACGAGATATTCTTAATGTTAACAGTTTTCATTCCCTCTGATGGTATCATTTTTAAATTAAATTGAAAAGATCATCTTGAAAGACGTAAGAACGGAAGCGGAGATTCTAATCAAAAACGCTCATTGAATTTTTGACCGTTCTTATTTCCTCAAGGAATTTTCTCGTTATCCGTAAACAAGCGCCAAGATCCCAAAGGCAATGCGCATTCTTTCTATTTTATTTCCGAATTTAATACTGACGCGCGTATTTTAAGAACCCGCTTTATATTCGAGGTATTAAATATTTTAACAACACACCCATTTTAGTATTTAATTTAAGGCGTTTGAAAGCATCCAGCATGCTTCGGTGTAGCTCGTTATTTCCTCATTTTTGAGAAGATAAGATTATTAGACTGTCTATATTGGATGCTTAACGGTTAGATCGTAATAGATTACTGATTTTTAAGAGCTTGTGGTAGTAGTGGAAGGCGTACAAGCGAACATTTATTGGTTCTTAGGCTACAATTACTGCATTCCCAAATAATGAAATGGAAAAATTTGTCCTAATATTTCATAGAATCACTTTATAGTGATCCTTTTATTTGGTACTCGGAAGAATACTTTTTTATCGTGACTTTTAACATATTAATTATTAGTAGATGGTTTTTTTAAGCATGCAAAGTCTACCAATTTCTTATGTGATACATATGATAATGAAGCGCCTACTTAAGGCTATATACACGTCAATACTATTATACTAGCTTGCTATAATTGTTTTTATATTCTATATGGATGAAAAAAGCCGCCTACATTTCTCGGATCACCCTCTATTTTTTTTTAATACCATGCACTTCATCATGGGGAGTCTCCCCAGAATTTCATATCCGACATAATATCCCTAAAATTCACTTCGCATCACGTAAATACTCTTCCGGTATTTAATTCAGCACATGCAAAATGGCGGAATGAACATACCTTCCAACTTTCCGTTATTCACAAGGAGGGAGTTATTCGACTTCCTGGAGGAATTCCTGGATATCTGGCTGTGCGACGGGGAAGAATCGGTGCTCTTCTTCCCTAACACATCGTGACAGGAATAGGAAGTGTGCGTGATGGTCAACATCGGATGAACGGTGCCTGAAACATACGATATATAGGGTGGCGCATCGAAAACGAAACAGAAATCAATTGCAAACTATATACTTAATTCCTATTTAAAATAAGTACGAGAAATTTCCTTATCTTTCTTCAAGAAATAACTTTTTTGCCACAAAAAAACGCCCCAATAGCTATTTTCAACAACAAAATGATAAACAAACCATGGGCGTAATGAAGAAAAGCATTTACTTATTAAGTAAATTCTTTTAGTCAAATTTCTTCTGAAGGTAGTACAAACTAATCTGATGTACCTATTAAAGTCTACTTTAAGCTTCAAATCAATAAATCTTCAAAACTACTGCACTGAAGCTCATGTATTTACATCATTATAAAGGGAATTGAAAGACCTTTAAAATAAGGTATCACTCGACCCCCCTTTCCATTTAAGATTTTAGGGTTGGTGTCACCCCCGCCCAGGGGCTGCAAGTGTTAACGTGATTTTTTGCCAAACTTGTGTCCCCTTCGAAAACAAAATCGACGGGTCTGAGCGTTTTTCCAAAAAAAAGACTGAGCTGCCAGTAAATGCGTCTGTTTCGTTTTCGATGAGCCACCCTGTATGCCACTAATCTTTTAATAAAAGTATGAGGCGACGGGGGAAACGTTATACAGAGTGTCGCAGAAGTCGACATCAAGCCGGAAACGGAGGACAGTGATAAGTCATAATAGTTGCCAGAAAAATATAAAAAAGCTAAGTCGTGTACTTTTCAAATTATAAGATTTCCGATATTTTTTTGAGCTTGTAATTTGGAAATTAGACGACTAGATTGTTTTCATATTTTTCTGATAACTAATATGACTCGTTTAGAACTGAAAGCAACGATTTTCAAACTGTTTGATAATAATAGGCAGGTTATACATGTTTTTGTAATTACATATGTCCTAAAAGTTAAAAACTGAGAAAAATTGATCTGAATTCCGTGAGAGATATTTTCGTCTGGTAGAGCAGAATGGGCGACTCTTCATAATTCGATAGTATAGTTTAGTTAAATATTGAGTTGTAATTTATGGTAACTAGTCAGTGTTTAAATAAATTTCTTCATTAAAAAAAATCCGACATATAATGTGCCAAAACTTTTAAGACATACGTCAAGATACTATGACAACGAGTTTTTCCTATTTTGCCGTTGTAGGAAGCGGAAGCTATACAGGAATTATCAATAAGTGTACGCATAACCAACGATCTGTTAAAGGGAGGATATTTCAAAATAACTACTCAAAGAAATATCGAAGTCTACCACAGCAACATTTAGATCGAATAAATGTGATACAGTGATGGTACTTTGGGAACACTAGATTTTATTTACAACGGGGCGGAAAGCTGTACTTTATAAGAAGGGTTTTCGGACAACAAGTCTTGTTTTTCCGTCCACGGCATCATCTAAGACCTAGGTAGATAAAGTAACTTTACCATCCGCTATGTATAAATACACCTACTATATGATGAACTCAATTCGCACTACGTAGAAGGAGCAAGTGTACGATTTATTTGTCGCCAAAATTACGTAGTTAGTAGTTAGGATGAAAGTTCATACTACAAGTCAATCAGGCTCAAATTTGACAATTGTTGACATCTCACATTAAATGCTCACTTTTCTGCGAAAACATAAAAGTGCATGGATTTCATACAATCCTAGTGTTCTAGACAATTCCAGAAAATGAGGTTTCTGCGAGTTGCAAAAGTAGTTTAAGCTGAACAACAGCAAATCTACAAGTGTTATAAAGGGTATCTGAGATTTTTTAAATGGAAACTCCCATTTTTGACCCCGTAAATGAAAAGAGCCGACAATTTTACGTTCAAAAATTTTGACAAGGTACGGTGAATCAAATATGGTCTTATCTATACTTAAATGTTGACCTTAGAATGTCATGGTCAAGGTCAAACCCGGGTACGGGGATATAATTTGAAGACCAAGGAAAACTACCACGGCATTATTGTCATGATTTTTCCCCAGATATCCAATGGTGGGCTGGGATCTGACCTTAACGATGATGATCTTCAAGGTTATCTGAAGGTCAAGTCGATTTTTGTAGTCAGGGAACAGCCCTGAATGAACATTGAAGTCAGTTTATCTGTAGATTATACAGTTTTCTGAATTATCAAGAAATTAAGGCAAACTTGTGTTTGACCTTGATGGTCAAGTCCAAGGTCAATTTCAGAAGATGATCAAGGACATATCCGAACATAAATTTTTCCCTTTTTACCATTTCCGCCGTCAAAAACATAGGATCCCATTGAAAACGAGTTGACCTTCAAACGACCTTCATGGCCAAGGTCAGATTGAAGGTCCCCATTGTATATCCGTGGAAAATCATTAAAATATTATGTCCCGATAGTTTCCTTATACGACTTCTGGCTTTCAAGTTACATCACCGTTCCTGGTTTGACCTTGGTGGTCAAATTCAAAGTTAAGGCTAGGGGAAACTCCTATCAATCTAGGGTTTTCTTTTTTCCTATCATTGTTACTGCATAAATTATCGTGCGGTTAAGGACAGAGCCAAACATTGATAGCTGATCGTTTAGGCAACACGTACAGTTGATACCTTGTAGAAAAATCTACATAATATCACAAAAAACCTATATAATGTCAGAAAAAACGACATAATGTCCCTTTTCAAGATACGCAGTACCTTTGCCGGCCATTATTTTAGTCAAAAATGCTTTAATCTAACTCTGCTTCAATGACATTGCCCTATAAGTTGGGCATTAAAGATATATATAATGCTTCATATTGTTCACATATCAAAATCACGGATTAATTATGCATCCCTGTCTATTAACCTTAACTGAGCGACTCACATCGCAGCACAGAAAGTATTTATAGTACGAATACCTACTTGAATATCCTTTCCAGAGAAAAGAATGTGTGCATTTGTATTAGTTTGTCACTTTTGTAGGCAATGGTAGTCAAATTTCACAATTTTAGCGACAAGCAATGACGATCAGTGATAGACGTAAACGCGGTATCAATTTGGGAGACTTGGAACAACGACTTGGATGACTGACCATCTGATTCAGTTAAATGCTTCCTAAATACGATGTTACATCAATCTAAGGAAAATGTTTTATATACAATGACCTAAATTAAAAATGTGCCTCATTTTACCCATTTGTGTCCAGTATTTGAGTGGCATGTAAAACGCAGTCTTGTTAGTATTTTGTTCCAGAAAAGGACCTAATACCTTACCACAGTGGTATGGCTTATTATATTCTGATTTTATTTTTTGTAAATATTGAGTTTAGTATAAGAGTCACTGTATAGCATTTACACAGAGACGCATTGAGTCTGGAAGATCGTAAAAAATGTTAATTATGATTTCAATAATATCGAGACTCCTAGAATACTGAAATTTCCGACTATTTTATGTTCTTTATAATCATTATATCAGCTTTTAGCTTCTTGATATCCTCATGTATTTTTTACCATGCGCTAAGTTTTTTGTATCGATCACTGGTTATGAGAAAAATAAATTCGATTCAGATTGGTGTTTCTTCAGTTTTCCAAAGAACAAACAAATTTGCGAACAATGGGTTCTGAAGTGTTATCATCAACACAAATTTCATGTACAAACCGTATGGATATGTACGAAGCAATTTTTGAATATTGACTACTATTTCAAAGAAAGAACTTTGGGACTACGTTAAAATAAATGGAAGTTGAACAGTGATGCATTCATTTGATGACATCACCAAAGGCTTAATTAAATGTAATGAAATCGACCGTATTTTCAAAAATTTCAACGCAGGGTCATTAGAGTTGACCAAGAATTATTTAAAATCGTTATTGGACTTATGCATGCCAGTTAAAGCAAGTGCAGAAGCAAACCATAATTTTTTTGGTTGTAAAATGTATGTAAAATACGGATGTTAAATAGAGATATGAAAGAAAAACCCAGAATTGGGAAGAGAAAAATGATAAAACTTGTAAAATGAACTCAATAAATCTGTTTACCAACACCTACTCATAAAAAAGATTAAAAATGCATTTACACATGACATTTTATACAAAATTATAATGATGTCATATATACTTGTATCCTGTTCTCCATCTTTCTTCTGTATACGTATAAAAACAAATTGATAGATGTCACTGCGGCACAAATGTATTATTTGAAACCAATGTAATTCAATAATTCTCCTTCTTTGAACCTCAAAAAAAATTTGGTTTGAAAAGCTACAAGCGCATTTTCAATGATTTACTCTTAAGTTATTTAGATTCCTTCAAATTGTCTATTGTTAATTTTTCAAAAGTGATAAATTTATAACGACAATGTATCCTGTCTATAATAATATACTTCATTGAATTGTATTGACAAAACATCAAAATATAAGTATACTAAGTGACATATAAATCCGAACACCCAGTTTAAATGGTTTTATTTTAATAAAATTTTGTATAAGTACTTAATGAAGCATAATAAGTAAATGATAAAAATTTCAAAATGATTGCACTGCTTTAAAGCCCTTTGACCTTTAATAATGTGTGGATGCACCCTGATGTGCTACGCATTCTCCAACGCGCCTAGGCATGCTTCTGATCAGGTGGTCAATGTCCTCCTGTGGTATCTCATTCCAGGCAACCACCAACTCCTCTCGAAGTGCTTCTAGAGTCTGAGGAGAACGTTGCAAATTGAGCAATCTCCTAGCCATCATATCCCACACGTGCTCAATTCGGGATAAGTCGGGAGATCTTGGTGGCCATGGTAACAATGTGACATCATTATGTTGAAAGAAGTCTATTGTGACTCTTGCAACATGTGGTCGGGCATTATCTTGTTGGAAAGTTGGATCTGCCAGGGTGTCAAGATAGGGTAAAAGATGGGGTTCTAGAACTTCGTGGATATAACGATGCGCGTTCATGTTACCTCTGATGAAGATTAAAGGTGACCTGGAACCATAAGCTATAGCACCCCAAACCATAACTCCAACAGTGTGATGAACATGTCTTTCAAGAAAAAAACTGTGGATTCCTCCTTTCACC